TTTTTAAAAAATACCCTGTTTTCTAACAACAACAACAAAAAATTACATGTACTCAGCTGGGCGAAGTAGCACATGCCTGTAATACACGCACTTTGGGAGGCTGAGGCAGGAGGATTACAACAGACCCAGCCTGGGCAACATTAGCAAGAATTTGTCTCAAAATCAAATCATAAAAAAGGCTGGGGATATGACTCAGTACAAAGTCCCAGGGCTTAATCCCCAGTACTGCAAAAATTAAAAAAACAAAAAACAAACCATGCAGAAGCGAACATTAGAGAAAGAAAAATCACCCCATCCTCGCTCCATCACCACGGTTACTGGGGTCGGGGGGAACCCTGCTTCGAGAATCTGCAGCGCTGGAGAGGCATTTCAGGGCCCGTGGGTGCTCTGCGTGTTTGAGGTCAGGCACCCAGGTCCTTTACCCAGCAGGACTTAGTGACGCGTCGGTGGGGGTAGGCGGAAGCGGTGCCATCCCAGACCGTGTCACGCTGCTGTTCCGCCCCCGCACAGCCGGCCATCTCTCCACGGCCTCCATTCGGGAGCAAACCACCTTTGTCTTTGGGTAGAAGGACCCACCATCCACTCTTCCTGGCTTGTGATTAGGTGACCTGGGACCACGAAGTTCAGAAGGGTCAGGAGGAGCAGGTGCCCAGCCCAGCACAGCCGTGTGGGATGATGGGGCTGTCGCTCCAGGCCTGGTCCCCACTCCCCCACCTTCTGTCTTCTGACCATCTCAGCTACGAGAGCAATGTACCTGGGGGTCGAGCTCCTCCTGATTCCCTGTCTATCTGTCCCTGGCATCTGTTGGTCCGTTTCACCCCCCTGCCAGTGGCCAGCAGCAGTCACAGTCCTATTTTTATCTTTCTCAGAGACAGGGTCTCACTATGCAGTTCAGGCTGGCCCTGAGCTTACTTTGTAGCCCGGGCTGGTCTCAAACTCACAGCAATCCTCCTGCCTCAGCCTCCCGAGTGTGCCACCACGCCCAGCCTTTTTTTTTGGAGACGGGGTCTCACTGTGAGCAGTCTCGGCCTTCGTGTGGCTGTTCACCACCGTGTCGAAAGCACTGAGAACAGGGCCTGCCGGACAGTGCTCAGAAGAGACTTGTGAAGGAATAAATGCATGATGATCACCTTCGCCATCTTACAGCAGCCGCCGCTCCCTGAGGACGTCAGGTGGGGCGGACACGGGGTGCACTGTGCACACCTGTTCCCGCCACAGCCGTGCAGCCGCCCTGCCAGGGGCACCTTTCGTTCAGTGTACCGAAGCAGAAGTGGGTGGCAGACAAGTATGGGGGTGGCAGGTCACCGCGGGGCCCGGGCTGCTAGCCCTGGAGGTGCAGTCCCACCCCGACTCCCCATGGTGCCGCCCTGCTCCCTGCCAAGGCCCCGAGTCACCAGGGTCAGGGCCTAGTGAACCCTGCACAGCGAGGTCATGAGCTAGCCCCTCAGCGAGAAGCCTGGGAAGGGCCCCAGCTGTTCCCCCAGTGGTCAGCCTGGGCTTGGGGCCTGCTGCCTGCACGAGCCCTCCCTGCACGCTCAGCCCCCACATGGCTGCTTGGCCAGAGAGCTTGGACTCATAGGACCTCGGTTTGGAAGAGACCTCCAAGAGCTAATCGGTCACACCCCCTTGGGTGGAAGGCTTTGAGACTGGGTTTCACTGCCTCATTCCGGCGGGCTGTGAACTCACTCTGGGGCCCAGGCTGGCCTCGAACTCTCAGCCGTCCTCCTGCCTCGGCCTCCTGGGTGCCGAGCTTACAGCCATGCGCCATCATGCCCGGCTCCCATTTTCAGATGTGGAGACGGGGCCCCTCCGCTGGGCAGCACACTGTGCGCTGTGCCCCCTCCCCACCTGGCCCCTCGCCCCTGCGGCCATGGCTCACAGGGACAGGGTCTCACGGCCCTCTTGCAGGGCAGCCCTCCTGGCCGGGACCGGCCCGCAGCGGCCACTGCGCCCTGCCTGCTGTCTCGGGTGTGAAAGGTGTTTAATTATTTCTGACAGAGTTCAGCGCCGACATCTGTTGGCGAGCGGGAGAGTGCATTTAGGTTGTCCGTCACTGTGACAGGTCCCACTTTTTGGAAACGCTTTTTCCCTTCATAATGGGGTCGGGTAGGGCAGCGGGTCAGACAAGGACCCTCCCGGGGCTGTGTGTGCAACGAAGGCAGCCTGGGTCTGGCTGCTGGCAGGGCCTTCAAACCCACATCAGCTGGTGGAGGAAGGGGGCCAGGGTCTGGGCAGCACTGGGCGGGCCATTCTTCTTGCTTTTTAAACAAAAAAAAATTATTTTTGGTACCAGGAATCAAACTCAGGATCTTGTGCTTGCCAGGAAGGTGTTAATGCCACTGAGCTATATCTCCAGTCCTTTTTTAAATTTTTGAGACAGGGTCTCGCTATGCAGTTCTTGCTGGCCTTGAGCTCACTATGTAGCCCAGGCTGGCCTCAAACCCATGATGATCTTCCTGCCTCAGCCTCCTGAGAGCTGAGGCTGTCCCCATCAGTGGAATGTGGACATGACAGCTACAGTTAACAGACACCCAGCACACCACATGTGGAAAAGGCTCAATAAATTTTTTTAAAAATTTTTTTTGTCATTTTGAGACATTTCACTATGCAGTTCAAGCTGGCCTTGAACTCACTTTGTACCCCAGGCTGGCCTCGAAGTCACAGTAATCCTCCTGCCTCGGCCTCCTGAGTGCTGGGAGTACCTCAATAAGTATTTTTGTCAGCCACACTTCCTGACGGGGGCGGGGGTGTCTGCATGTGACATCCCATAGTGCAGCACGTGGAGGTCACAGGGTCTCTGCTCACTTTACCAGGCGTGCTGGGGCCCAGCCCGGCCCCACCAATCCCACACAGGACTCGTTTCCTGCAGCTCCTGGCTGATTGGATGGGACGGTTCGCAATGCACAGAATCCCGGGAACACCCCAGAAAAGGTGAAAACGGCCCAAAGAAACCAGGCCTTCACTTTACCCTGAGTCTCCATCTCTGGGCACAGTGGAGGCTGGGCAGGTGCCAGCTGGGGCCCTGCATCCTCCCGGGGCGAGGACGGCAGTCGCCCTGTGTCTCCCCCACCCCCGCGCACGCAGGACACAAGGGTGTAGCGCCACGCCTGGCACCAAGCGAGGGGGTCACTTCTGCTCCCACAGCGTCTAGGAGCAACGGTCTCACGGCCGGAAGAGGCCGCCGGTCCACGGTGCAAGTCCTTTCATTTAAAACTAGACACAGTCACTCGTCTCTGCCCCTGAGCCGCCCGGCCGGGCTGCGGCTTCTAGCACAACCCGTCTGTGGTCCTGGGTAGGGGCCCTACCTGCTCTCCGGGTGGGGCATGGGGACCACCTGTGCCCGCCTCGTCCGCAGCCGCGGGCTCTACATTCTGAGCGGGGCCGGGATCAGCGCCGCGGGACAAGCCTCCCCGTGACATTTGCAGCGAGCACAGCGGGAGTGGGGCCCCTGGGGCGGGCGTGAGGGGCCGCGTGGGGGGGACAGCGCGGCTTCCCGGCGGGGCGGGCGCGGCAGCTCGTTCAGGCGCATCAGGCTCAGGCAAGCGGAGGCCCCGTCTTTGTCTAAACCGCGGTTTAACGCAGCGCAGAGGGGCGGGGCCGGCCCGAGCGCCGCCCTGTGCAGCTGTCTGCCGGCCGGACGGGTCCCTCGTGGCCTCTAGAAACTCGGGCCGCGCCGCCCACGCTGGGCAAGGCAGCCCCCTCCCCGAAGCTCCCTGCCCTCTGCTTCTACACAGACGCGGCTGGCACTTTGTTCTTGCCCTGCTGAGAGCTGCTGAGACCAGCCCCGCCGGGTGGGGGTGCACAAGGTGAAGGCACAGGGGGCGCGGGCCTAAGGCCGGTGCGGAGAGAACGGCCACCAGCAGAAACCAAGTAGCCACAGATGCTGCTGAGCGGTGGGGGGCCTTCTCCCTCATTGGAGGGAATATGAACTAGTGCAGAAATCGGGCACAGAAAACCAACACTAGAAATTCCATCAGAATCAGCTATCCCTTTTCTAGGTACCTTCCCCAAGGAGTTATAGACATCGTAGTACAGTGATGCATACACACCCACGCCCATAGCAGCACAATTAACAATAGCTAGTTTTTGGAAGCAGCCTATCAGCAGATGAATGGATAAGGAAATTGTGGCATTTACACACAATGGAGTACTACTCTGCCATAAACAAGGATACATTTGAGTCATTGTAGGAAAATAGATGCACCTTGAGACCATAATGTGAGGTGAAATAAGTCAGACTCATAAGCTTAAATATCACATGGTTTCTCTTATACGAGAAACCTGAAGTATAAATAAAGAGTACAATAAAAGCCTGACATATAAAGAAATTACAGAGCAAAATAAAACGTAGAGGACACAGAGAGAGTGAACTTTTGCAAAAGGGCAGAGATGGAGGGCGGAGGGGAGAGGGGAGGAGGCAAATCAAGAAGAGGCATTGTGTCGCGCAGGTACTCCCCGCGAGGAACACACACGTGGGCTGCAAACAGGGACAGACAAAAACAAGGAGCTCCGAGGCTGGACTCTCATCCAGCCGGAGCAGTTGCACCCTACGCACTCACGCCAGCACCTGTACGCATCTGTCCCCCTCCCCACGGCCACCAGCCAGCGGGAGGGTCAGCCTGGGAGGGCACACGCGCTGTGACATCCTGAGTCCTGGGTGGCATGGGGCCCCATCCCTGGCAGGGGTTTGGTCCAGATGGCATCTGCCTCCCTCCCCCCTGGCACCCAGGCTGTGTGCCGAGCTGACCTGGGTTCTGTCCCGTCCCTGCATGTCCAGCATGCACCATGTTTCCGGTCTGCAACCTGGGCCCCATGGCGGCAGCTTCCGGGACGGTGCAGGTGCAGGTCTGAGCTGAGGGCACCCAGAGCCGCGCTCAAGAAGAGCGCGACAATGTTAGGCATTGCTGGTGCCTGGCGGGCGGTCAGCAGCCGCCGGAACTCCCAGAGGCAGGGGAGGGAGGAGCGGCAGGCAGTCCGGTGCAGGCCAAGGAGACACTGACCTTCTGGAAGTGGGGCATATGCCACAGGGCGTCCAGCTTCACCGGCGGCTTATACTTCCGCAGGAGGCTGCTGCGGGTCTCGCACTGCTTTCCCAGGACCACCTGCAGGAGGCCGGAAATGCACAGTGAACCTCGCCTGGCCGCCTGGACAGTGACCCAGGGACTCAGGGCGGAGGTTGGGATTCGGGCTGCAGCCGAGCCCAGGGGCTTTGGGTAACTTGCAAGCCCTTTGGACCAGTTATTTTCCCTGCCTTCTAGAACCGTTTGGAAACTGAGTCAGAGTAGAGAGGGTCTCCGGTCAGGGGTTGACAAGCTGGGCTTCCCGGCGTAGGGTGGACTCACATCGCCCTCCCAAGCCCCCGTTCCCCTGCTGGAAAAGGACCCCCTGCGCCTAACAGACAGGGTCCCTGCGCAGCCAGGCTCTGAGCACGGTGGCGGCTGGCCCGAGGCGCTTGCTTGCCAAATGCTGCCGTCACTAAGAACTTCCCTTGGAGCTGCGGCCGCCCCAAGTCCAGGGTGCCCTGAGCGGCCTGTAGACCTGGGAAGAGACGCGTGTCCCTGGGCAGCCTGGGCAGCTTGGCCTCACACGCGGCCTGCCTTACCCAGCCGAGTGAGACGTCGATCAGCCCGGGCAGCAGCCCCTAGCTGTGGCCCGGCAGCTTCACAGCCGTGTGGTGTCTCTAACCCACCCTCACCCGTCACCCGTCTTCCCAACAGGGGACGGACATGCTAGGAAGCGTGCTCTGGCCTCCTGCAGCAGGGCCGAGCCCTCACCCTGGGGGTCCCTGTGCCCAGAGTGGGGGTGGGCTGACCTCCCGACTGCTGAAGATGAGGGGACACAGGGAAGAATCCACACAGAGGCCTCGCTAAGGTTTCTCCCTGTTTGTCGCCGTTGCCACTTGCTCCTCCTCTGCCTGTCCCTCCCTTTCTCCATGACTGCCGGCCTCGTCCTCAGACGCAGCACAGAACGCAAGCTCTTACCACGTCTCTGGCTCTCGGGCTCCCGTAACAGGTGGAACGGGACCTGCGATCTCGCCTCTTGCTACTCTGCCTTTTGTTACAGGGGCCGCAGCCCTGAGCCCAGGTGGGTAAAAGGGAAGATGCTTTTCCTGCCCCAACAAAGGCTCGGGCGCCTGGGCGCTCTGCCCCCTCGTGGGCCCAATTTGCAAGCAGAGACCCCCAGATGATTTGTAAAGCCACACACCCACCCAGAGCTGGGCCGCGCTGGGGCAGAGTCGCTGGCTGCGTCAGGGGTCTCTGCTTTAGAGGGAGGGCTGTGGGCTACGAGAGGGTCTCTTGGCATCGGGAGAAGGGATGTGGAAGGACCAGTGATCCTGAACCTGCTGTGGACACTCTGGGCTGCAGTGAATAGCTGCTCACTGAAACACAGCTCTCCCTGGGCATGGTGGTGCACGTCTGTAATCTCAGCACTCGGGAGGCTGAGGCAGGAAGATTGCAGTGAGTTTGAGGCCAGCCTGAACTGCATAGTGAGACCCTGTCTCAAACAAACAAAAAATACCCCACAGCTCTCCGTGGGGCTCGGGAATGGCTGTCACCACCACAGCTTGGCTCTCAGAGCCACTTGCAAACACCGCCACTCCCAGTGCCAGGCTGCCAGGCAGAGCGGAGGGGCGCTGGTGCCAGTCTGTCCCAGAACAGAGACACTGTCACCAACCCAGGTGCTCCCGTAGTCAGCAGATGGATGCTCACCGGAGCCTCTCCGTGGCCCAGACACACCCGGGTGGCTGGCGATGGACACCATCGCTCCGAGCCTCAGTTTCCCCATAGAAATGAAACAGCTGAGACAGTAGGAGGAGATGCCGCCCTGACGGGGTTCCTGGCAGGAACTTGGGGTGTGCTCGGCCCCCCTCTCCGCATAGAGGGGCCCAGGCGCGGGTGTCGGCTGTGACTGTGGGGCCACCAGAGATGCTGTGCTTCCCACATACCCAGAGGCACGGCGAGTCTGACGTCCCCACCGTCAGTCTGGGGTTCCCGTATGTTCTCCTTCACTTCCTCCCTCCCTCCCTCTTCCCTCCGTCCTCCTCCCCTCCCCGCTTCCTTCCTTCCCTAGGATGGAACCCCAGGGCCTCACACACACTAGGCAAGTGCTCAGCCACCAACCTACACCTCCTAGTCCAGCCCTTTTTATTTTTTTATTTTGAGACATATTCTCACTACATTCCCCAGGCCAGCCTCAAACTTGCCATCCTCCTGCCTCAGCCTTCTGACTAGCTAGGATCACAGATGTGCAAAATTGTGCCTGGCCTGTTGGAGTCTTTTTTTCTTTCCTTTCTTTCTTTCATTCGTTCTTTTTTTTACCATTCCAAAAATGCCTTTTTGTTTTCAGTTTTATTTCTTATGAGTACACGCTTGCCATCATAGGGCTGACACTCCCTGTGGGGAGCTAGTGTTGTACAGAACACATCCTAATTCTTCTTTCATCCCCTCCCTCTCCCCTCCCTCCATCTCTTGATCCCCTTCCTATTTGAAAAAGATCTGTCTCCCTACTTCCTGTTACCTCTTTTTCTTTGCTTTTCATTTATATTTTCCGTTTCTCATACAAGAGAAACCATGTGATATTTAAGCCTGGTTAAATACCTGATTTATTTCAATTCACATTATGGTCTCAAGACGCATCCATTTTCCTACAGATGATTACGTATCCTTCTTTACGGCAGAGTAGTACTCCCTTGTGTGTAAATACATTTTCCTTATCTGTTCATGTATAGATGGCATATAGGCTGCTTCCAAAAACTAGCTGTGGTGAACTATGCTGTATAGACGTGGATGTGCATGGCCACTGTACTGTGGTGTCTTTAACTCTTTTGGGAAGATACATAGAGCGGGGGCAGTTGGCTCAAATGGAATTTCCACTTCAGTTTTCTGGCAGTTGCTAAGGACTCACATCAGTGGCAACCTGTGGTATTTGGATGTGGTCAGAACGTGGCCTCCCACGGCCGTGCAGGGAGCGACTCTCCCCGCCTGGCTTCCAGGCCTGACTGGGCCGTGGATGCACCTGGAAGGCTCCTCAGAAGGGGCGCAAGGAGCAAAATGAGGAGTTGGCTGTGGGGGGTAGGGGCCTATCCGTTAACTGCTGACAAGGTGAAGTCTGAAAGGTAGAGGCTGCTCTGGAGTGGCCATCTCTGCTTGGTCTTACTACACTTCTCCTGACAGGCAGACTTCTGTGTAGGCCTCAGCCCCGCTGAAAGCCCCGTACTCGGACGTGCGAGGCTGTGCGGAGGTTTGGTTGGAGAGCTGGCGCAGGGGCGGGCACAGCCGGATTCCACTCCCAGCGCAGAGGGGCGCAGGCCCGCCCTCTCTCCCTCCCGGGCCGCCGGCCACCGAGGAGAGACGCGGGGCTACCTTCTGCTTCTTCTCCAGTTTGATGGCTTTCTGGGCGGCCTTCTGTTCCTGCACCCACAGCTGCTGGTACCGGTGCTGCAGCAGGTCAAAGAATGGGGTCGAAGGCCTGCAGGGCGGGGAGGGGAGGCCGGACACAGCTGGAGGCCTGGGTAGGACGGGCTCCCTCCCACCCAGGCACCGCCCTCTCCTCCCGCCCACCCGGGCACTGGCGTCACTGTCGCAGCTGTGGGACGCCAGCCCTGGGCAAACCTCGCAGATGCGGGCCGCCTGCCCCCAGGCCCGTCCGTCAGGTCAGCCAGCCTCTCCGCCCTCTGCCCCGCTTGTGCTGTGTGGAACTGAGGTCAAGTCTACACCGCATTTACCCCCTTTGGCGAGAGCGCGGAATGACGTCTTTCTTCCCCACCGTTAGCCGGGGTCGCCTCTGACTTTCTCTGACAGTGATCTCCAGCCGCAGAGGCCTCATCCGGGCCGAGCGTTTGGCAGCCCTCCCCCTCACGATGCCACGAGGTGCACCGTTCTCACCCCGGTCTCAGGGGTGAGGCCCAGAGGTGGGGTCCCGGGGCAGGGCCGGCAGCACCCCAAGCCAGACCTGCCCTGCGGCAGAGCTCAGTAGCAGAAAACTAACTGCTTCCCGGTGAGGCCTGACCTCTGCACAAATTGAGACGCTGAATATACAGATGGACAGGGGCTGGCCACGTACAGAACTGGAACTCTGCAGTGACCCAGAGTGACAGAGCAGCTTCCAGACCAGCACGGTGCACGGGAGACACCGAGGGCGGCCACACGCCTCCACGCTGAGGAACCTGGGGACACCACAGCCAGAAGAGGCAGGGGCTTCTCGTTCAGCACCCGATACCTTGATCTCAGCCTCCGGGACCCGGAGGGAATCTCTCCCTGTTGCTTTAAGCCACCCGGTTTGTGCCAATTTGTTGTGGAAGGTCCCAGGACTTGACCTCAGGACCCTCAGACAGTGACTCACAAAGTGCCCCGGGCATGTGGCGGCCGAGGTCCCGCCCATGGCGTCTGCCCAGCCCCAAGCTGCACCTTAGGGACCGACCCCCCAGATATTTGGCACAGAGGTTCAGGAAGCGGTCCACGATCGTTTTAGCACTGTCTCAGGACACTGTCTAGGTGCTGTCCTAGCTTTTGCCAGACTTCCCAAGGTGCCAGGGATCCAGGGGAGGCTCAGGACCCCAGAAGTGACCTTGTGATCTTCGGTGCAGGAAAGCAATGAGGAGGTGGATGCACTGGGAGAAAAGTTCCGTGCTTTCTTCATCCTGTTCGGCAGTCCCAAAAGTCTTCCAAATCCTGGGCAACACTTAAAAAGCTGGGGTAGTTTACACTGAAAAAACAGCATTCATCTGGATTGTCCTGGAAATGTGCACATTCTGACGACATTGGTTTGCACCCCTCTTTGGGGCCACTGGCCCCAGTCCCTTCCCTTCCCTATTGTCTTTTTTTTTTTTTTGGTTTTTCTCCGGAACCGGGAACCGAACTCACGACCTTGCCAGGCAGGCGCTTTGCCACTGAGCTAAATCCCCAGCCCCCTTCTCTATTGTCTTGTAGCAAGCCATCTCCCCGCCCTGCCGGCCGGCCAGGGTTCGAGTGCCAGGTCCCAGAGCCTGCCCGAGAGCTGGACTTTGCCTGCTGCTGGGCCCTGGCATGGTTGTTTCCTGGACCCCAGCGTCTCCCGGGCCCTGGGCTGAGCTGGGTTCTTTTGGAGCAAGGTTCTGGGCTCTGAAACGCTGAGATCTCGTCACACAGCAGCGCACGGCGCCCCCACCAACACTGGGTCTTTGTTTGCTGCCTCCTCCACCCCTGTGGTGACTTTTATTACTTAATTATTACACACCCCATGCTCCTGAGCAGCCTAATTTATAGCTGTGCTTCCTAATGACACGACGTGCGTAATCTGAAAATATCCACCCCGAGAGAATGCTCACGGCTCCGAGCTTCCTCCCCGCAGCCCCGCCGCATCTATCTCCAGCTGCGGCCGCCCCGCTGACCAGCTCCGTGTCCTGCTCCGGCCAGCTCTTCTTACTCCCGGGAAGAGGCCGGCGGGGACCGCGCACGAGCCTGACAGCCTGTGAATTACTAGGGCCCCAGCCCAGGTCGTCTGAGGCGATGGTGCTCTCGGCTTGCCTGGCTCATTAGCGCGGATAAACAGGTGGTGGGGCCAGCTCGCTGCGGACAGCCCGGGACATAAATCGGGTCTATCTGGCCTGGCTGCAGCGCCCTCAGCGCCTCCAGATGCATCTCGCTGGCCACGGGCTGGTCCAGCTGCCCCCGTCCACCTCCTGCCCCTGCCCAGTGACTCTTCCTTCGTTCGGCACGCGCATGGCTTCTCCTTTGCCTTCAGATCTGTGTGCGGTCACTTCCTGCATGGCGCGGGCGTCGTCCCTGAGCAGCTCGCCTGAAAACAGCCCCCTCCAGGACCTCCGGGTGGATGTGCCCGCTCGGTCCTGCACCAGCCACCGGACTTCTATGGCAGGACAGAAACGGCTGTGAGCGGACACAGGGCTGCTCCTGATAATTAGTTGTCATCTCGAAGAGAGAGAGGAGAGGGCAGAGAGGGGAGGGAGGGCAGGCGGAAAGGAGAAAGAAAAGAAAGAGATGGAGGCAGGTTGGGCAAAAATTCGAGCAACTTTCCATAATTCAGGGTATTGCGTTAGCCTCCCCGTTGTACAATCAGCTAAAGAAAGTAGGTTGATGGAATCTGAAATTCGATACAGGACATCTTTTTAACAAGTGCTACCAGACCAGTGGACATTTGGATAAAACAACAAGCCCACAAAAGCCCTCTGTCCAGGTCTCACCTTTCCACGAGAGTTAACTCCCACAGTCACATAAAATGTAAAACCAAACAACTTGTAGGAGAAAATGCAGCGCAAAATCTTTGGGATCTAGGGGTAGGTGAAGAGTTTCTTAGACTTGATAAAAATAGGCTCCATATATGAAAAACTGATACATTAGGCTTCTTCAAAAATTAAAAACTTTGGCCCCAGAAGAGATCCTGCTAAGGAGACAAAAAGAGAAGCTACAGACTGAGGAAAGTGGCCTGAATGATGAATGTGACTATTATGTGATTATTACGCATGGCAAATACGTACTCATAAAAATAAATTTTAAAAAACCGTATGTCTGGAAAAGGACTCCTATGTAGAGTTTTGTTTTTTTTAAAAAACTTCAATGATAAAAGCCCAAAAATAATCCAATTAAAGAATGAGCAAAAGACACAAAGAGCCATTTTGTCCAAGAGGACAAATAAATGGCACATGAATGCGTGGGAAAATGTTCAGAAATGCCAGTTAAGACCACGATGACACACAGCTAAAATAAATAGGCACAGGGCCAGCTGCCAGCGAGGATACAGGTGAGAAACCTGTCCTACATGACTGGTGAAACATGGAGCGACACAGCCACTCTAGAGAAACTCAAACTTAGATCTGCATAAAAATGTAGTCACACATCTTCATAGCAGCTTCATGGGTAATAGTTCCAGGTGGAAACAACCAAAATGTTCTTCAGCAAGTGAAGGGTTAAACTGTGGTATATCTATGCCATGGAACATTACTCAGCAAGAAAAAGGGACAAACTGTTGATACTTAACACCTTTCCTGGATCTCTATGCTTATGCCGAGTGAAAAAGACAAGTCTCAGAAACTATGTTCTGCTATGTCTCCATGTGTAGTCCATTTCTGCAGTTATCCAGGGTGTGAGGAGCAGTGAGGAAGGGGGTCTGTGGGGATACCAAGAGGGATCTTTTACATTTTGATTGAGTTATACAAACCTACAGGTGATAAAATTGTATAGAACTAGGGACTGGGGATTTAGCTCAGTGGCACAGCATCTGCCTGGCAAGCATGAGGTCGTGAGTTCGATTCCCGGTACCAGAAAACAAAACAAAACAAAAAAGAATTGTATAGAACTAACACACAGCACACATACACATGACTGCATGCAAAATTGGTGAAATCTGTGTTACATTCACGTAACATTTGGTTTTCACATTGCACTATAATTAGGGAAAACTATCACTGGGGAAACTTGGTAAAGAATACACAGGAGGGTCTGGGGATTTAGCTCAGTGGCACAGTGCCTGCCTGGAAAGCACGAGGTCATGAGTTCGATTCCCAATACCGGGAACTGGCCCTCCAAAAAAAAAAAAAAAAAAAAACACAGAAGTCTTTGCCCTGCTTTTACAACTTCCTGTGGATTTACAATTATTTCAAAGTAAGATTTTTTTTTTTTTTTTTTGGAATGCAAGAAAATCTTGTAACAAGGCATGCTACAGGAGAGCCTGAAAGCCCACACAGGGAGCGACCACGGCCAGTGTAGACAATGTGAGGTCACCAGAGCCAAGACGAGGCGCAGAGGGGCTGCCGAGCCACCACCATCAGCCATCCTCCGGGGGGAGAAAGGCCGCCGAGCCTCGAGCTCTCCGGCTTTTATTTAGAGTCTCAGTGGAAGAGGAAAAAGCAGAAGAAAAGCAGTTTGCGTCCAGAGCTGTCTCGAGTCTAAGCAGTCTTTCCTGGGAAAGAGAGGGACAACACCAGACGCAACAAGCCTGGAAATGTTACACAATTACGATTACATGGAGAGGTCATCAAAAAATATGGAGCTGAAAAATCTACGGGGAAAAATCGATACATGAATTTTTAAAAAAAGTATGTTGCTCTTCTAAACTTGTAATTCATTCCTATCTCTTCCTACACTAATTATTCATTTTGAGGTTTTAATTTGCATTCACGGTTTTGTATTATTTTTTTCTTAAGGAAGATCTTCAAATGTGAATAAGCACCAGGTCCAAAATACCTGGAGATGTCGTCTCTGGGTGCGGGTAAGATTTTTTTTTTTAATTAGAAGGGCATATTATGTGCAACTTTGTATCAATAAATGTGAAAACCAGAACAAAATGGGTGATTTTTCTAAGAAAACATAAAAGATCAAAGGTTTTTTTTTTTTTTGGTTTTTCTCTGGTACCAGGAACTGAACTCACGACCTTGCGCTTGCCAGGCAGGCGCTTTGCCGCTGAGCTAAATCCCCAGCCCCAAAAGATCAAAGTTGACTGAGGTCCACCTACAAAACTTGAATGGAGCCCTGGGA